ATGGAAATGAAGGACTTGACCTGAGACTCTGAATCAGAGTGGTACTGACTCCTGAAATGATCGGTTGCCTTCTACATGCTCTTGTTGCCTGAGGAAGAAGCCCAGTAGAGGAGGAAGAACACAGAATAGGAGCCAGAAATAGGATGACAGTCAGGGATGGGGCACAGAATTCTCTCAGGAGAAATGGGAATGCCTGGACCCTGCGCAGAGGGACTTGTACAGCGATGTGATGTTGCAGAACAGTAGGAACCTGGTCTCTCTGGGTGAGGATAATTAACTTCCAGACAATGGGATCTGCCCTTGGGTATCTGCCTTTTCCCTCTGTGCCTCTAGGGGGTCCCTGCACTGATTGACTGAGATAGAAACCCTATTGACTCAGAAAAGGAAAGCTTCTTAATGAAGCATCTGGACTTGAAATTTGCCCCTTCTTCAGATGACCAGCTTACTTCATTCCACATCAGGGGTGGTTCCAGAGCTTAAGTATGCTAAAACCTTATGGCAACTTTAACACATCCAATTCCCTCTTTTCTACCCCTGTGCTTTTGATTCAGTAATTCTTAGAAGAGAACTGGATATATGCACATTATACTGTTCCGGATGCATTCAGGAGGAGGCAACCTGTTCATAAAATTTTGAAACCGTTTTTCAGCTTTCTTGAGGTATAATTGTCAAATAAAATTGTAATACATTTTTTAAAAGGTACATAGCCAGAATCTTTGTGAGTGGTTGCCATTTGGGTAGAAATCACCTTCTGAGAATATGGTGTGGAGGATAACTGAGAAAGCCAGTCCCCGAACACTGTGGCCCACATTCACTTTCAGAGATGTGCTCACTGAATGTAGGATTAAAAGGTTGGAAGCAAAGTGACAGGAACAAATCTGTGGTTCATTCAGCTATTTAATAAATACAAGGAACAGAGCACAGTATTCAAAACCTTGGCTCTGAAAGGTGTGAATATGCCCATGTCAAGGCAATGTCAGCTTTTATTTTACTAGTTAGAGCCAACGATCTGAAATTTCAATTTTATCATAAGCCTTGGAGTGTTTTGTTCACTTCTATATCCCCAGAATCTAGAAAAGTGTTTCAGGTATAAGAACTAGACAGTAAATATGCATTGAATAAATCCTATGGAAAGGGGACTGCCAATCTTTTTTGTGTTTTCTGTATGCCCCCTGGAATTGGTGCTCTGCAAAGGTTTTGGCGTCACTATTTACTTAGGATTTTGCATGAGCTTCAGAAAAGACTGAAAGATGTGCTCTGAGCACAGACATCAAGCACCTACACCTCGACACAAGAAGAACTAAACTTTCTTACCTTTCTCCTCAAAGTTAAATCACTCTCAAATATGCATCATCTATCCAATAACTTAAAAAATATTTAAGACTTTCCTCTTTCCCTATCTCATTTCCCGCTACATCCAATTTGTCATTATATATTGGACACCCAACCTCTTCAACATTGTTCACATCCTTCCTCGCCTTGTTATTCTCCCTGCTTGCTGCATTAATTCACGTGACTGAATTAATGCAGCCTGTTCAAATTAGCTCTTCTCAGACCCACCTGCCTCCTTTCTCAGCCCTCTCCACGCCAATTACTGGGAATGTACAGTAATTCTTCTGGGTCAGTGGTTGTCAGCTGGTGGTGGTGTTTTTGGTTTTGCTTTTATTTTTTGTTCCTGTTACTAAAAGAATTTTGAGAAAGTATTTATGTCCTCTCACATGTGTTTAAGTTGACATCTACATTTTTTCCGGCAAGTTTAAATAGCTGCAAAAGATGTGATTTCTAGCATATGTTAACTACTGACATCTTGAAACCAAAATTTTTATATCACACTTTTGAATGGATGAATGGACTCTAAATACTGGAGTGATTTGACACCTACCTGTTCCTGGATAATTGTACATTATCAAGCTCTTTTTCTCCTTGAATCATTTTTTTTCCATTCCACTTTACCTATGGAACGTCATTTGAATTTAATGTATTTTATGTTGGAGAGACTTTTATTCTTCACCCCATACTTTTCTGAAAGATTTTTATATTTCAAAATTATTTAAATTTCTTGTGACCACAGAATTCTAAGAGATAAATAGACATATACACCACACACACACATATACACACACATGCACATATATGTATATATTCTGGATAGAGTTATGTAACTATTAATAGTACATAAGTGATAAGCAGCATGAATATATAGTATTTTTAAATGTCTCTTGGTTTAGTGTCGCCAAAGTTTTTATACCCCAGGACAATGCACCACATTAAAATTCAGGAAGGCTGGGCAGTTTGCCTTTGTTCAGTGAAGTAGGAAAGGGAAATTGTGAATGGGAAGAAAGGATTTTGATCTTGACTAACTCCTTAGGAACACATTCACTTCAAGCAGAAGATTTGGGGCAAGAATTCATATGGAAGTAAAGGAGCTAGAATTTGAACCTCTAAGCTGTCCATGCCCACACACCCCAGGAGAGTCTTTGTGTTCCTGTGGGCTTCGTGGATACCAATTTCGAGACTTCTGTACTATGTTGTACAGCAAAAGTGAAGACATTTTGCAGGTGTAAGTAAAGTCCCTAATAAGTTGACTTTAAGTTAATTAAAGGGAATTTACCATGGGTGGTCCTGACCTAATCAGGTGAGCTCTTTAAAAGAAGATGTAGAAGTCAGAAGCTCAAACTACCAGAAAGCTATGCTGTTGGCCTTGAAGAAGTAAACTTCCCTATTGAGAGAGTCATGTAGTAGGAAGTATCAGGCAGTCTTTAGGAGCTGAGGACCTCAGCACTGCAGCCGCAGAAACTGAATTCTGCCAACAACCAGTGAACTTGGAATGGGATACTGAGTCTTAAATGATACAGTAGGTCTGGCAGGCACCTGGGTCATGGCCTTGTGGGGTCCTAAGCAGAGAAGCCACCTGAGTCATCCTTCTTGCCCACAGAAATTATGACACAATAGGTATTGTTTTAAGCCACTAAGTTTTTGGTAATTCGTTATACGGCGATAGAAAACTGTTACACAGTTAAAACCATCACCAAATGTCTTGGTACTGCATCATAGGCGGTACTGTAAATGTAAGCCAAAATATTTGGAAGCATATTCATAAAACATAATTTCATATGCCTTCCAGAATTGCAGAATGTCAACTTCAGTTCATTTGAATAAAAATGTAGTCTCCATATATGATTTTACAAACTAAAAGCTTTCCTGTAATGAAATATTTCTAAAATATTCCCAATGCTTAAAAGATTATTTTGTTCTTAACTATATAGGTTTGGCTTACAAATTCTAACACCCTGTTCTTAGAATTAACATCCTATAAACATCATCTTCTGTTTAACAAAGCCATCTGAATCACTGCATGTTAGTTGCATAATTAGCCAACTCTTCTTTGGACAGAAAATAAAAAGAAATCTATCTAGTAGTGAGGAAGTATCATATTTATTTTATTTCTTTTCTCTCACAACGTCTTTTAAAATAACCAAACACTGATTGGTAAATGAATAGGAGGGAAACAGTGAATGTGCAGATGAGTATGCATGTGAACATGTGTGTATGTGTTTATACAGATCTTATTCCAGAGACAATTTATAAGAGTACCTAAAACACACACATATACACACACACACAGGATGGAAGGGAAAAATGTTGGTTTATAGTACCTAAGTAGTCTCAAAGGATGGAAAGCTTAACAAGATTTTAAAAGTCAGTGAATGGAACTAACCCAATCTATACAGAGAAACACTGTCACAAGAGTCATCTTTTATTTTAAGGGACCAAACAGATGATTCAATTTCCTTGGAACATTGTGTTCACATCAAGAACCTACCAGATTCTGCAGTTATTTCACATATGCCAGACACATCCTCTTTCTATGGGCTTTATTTGAGTTGTCCAAAACATTTCCTTTTATTAGCAGGTCTAAGTGGAGAGAGATTTACCTTGGCAGTATTACGGTGTGGATAATATTGAATTAAGTTTGTTCAAAGGAATATCTCCATCAGGCTGTACTAGGAAAATATGCAAATACCTATCCCTATCCTCAGAACTGTCCACTTATCATTTAGGCTGCTGGTACCTGATCTTATGTAGATTATTTGTCCCTATATATGCATATCTTTATATTATCAAGCCAATTTATAATTACAATTTATAATCCCTTACTAAATTCATGTGAGTCCACTGGTCTTAAAACATTTTAGGATCCAGCTGAAAAAATAAGACCTGTACTCATAGAAATAAAAGCATGGCCAAATCTAATTATCCAGTGTTATTTCAAAGAGTAAAATTGTGTAAGTTAACCATGGAGGAGAGGACCAAGTATACAGATTTAAAGAGCTACCACAAAGCAAGTGAGGAAAGAAGCTTTTATCAGAAATTCAGGAGTGTTGAGTAAAGGCCGGTACATAGAAAACAACCATAACGCAGCTAAAAGACGGGTTGGTACAGAACACAGGCTGTGGACAAGGCAGCCAGAGAGGTGGGGATCAGCCACTAGAGATTAAGGATGTCTGTGAGATTCTTCCAGTGGACTTACTAGTCTTCATTGCAACTCTGTCATTCATTAAAAGAGGTTCACAGTAGCTTGACAGCTTGTGTTATGTCTGGGGAGGAATGGTATGGAAAGGATACCAGATTGGAAGGTAAAATCTAAGGTGCTAGCTTTTATGGCCTTAATGACATTAGGATACTGCACATAATCCCTGATCCTTTTCTACCTCAGTGGATTTTTTTTTTTTAAATAACATGAGAATGTTTAGGCCTTCGCCATAAGTGTAAATGTTTTGTGTATTTGTGTTCACTTGCATATGTATCTCTTTCAAAACAATGACCCTCTGAAAATTCCAAAGATTTGGGTAGAATTATATAACACATTCTTAAACTATTAAAACCTACACACATTAAAGCATCAAGTAAAATAACTGTTAACCTGTCTCACTAATAATCGCCTGCTTAGATCCAGTCTGTGAGAGGAAAAGGAAGCAATAAATTTGACCTTAACTTACCGCACATTTTAATTGCACAGTACTCCCAGGGGGTGTCAGGGTCAAGAGTATAGCACCATGGCCTGGGCTTGCCATCAGGATTGCGGCAATAATTATCATCAAAGCCCTTGTCGGGATATCTGCAAACCACACGAAGAAAAGTGTCATGTAAATCTGCCTGGAAACACCACCCACTCCTCAGCTCACAAAATAACGTTTGACCTAGCTTGGCTACTACTAGATGGGGGAAGAAGAGGTTTTCTGTTGCGCCTTACAAGAACTAATTATCAACTATTGCATCTGTTAGCTTACATATCTAGTAAGTACAGAATACATCCCCTTTGCTAATAAGTTAGGTCCATTTGGTACCTGTCCCCCAGTTGAGGTCCCAAACTGAGTCCTCTTCTCACAAAGCCCAATTAAGGACAGATTACATAAACATGACCTCAGGTAGAATGCTCATTAAGAAGAGGGGTCCTTTTCTGAGGGCAGGCTTAAAGTTCAAACTGAAAGTTAGGTTTCAATAGTTCTGTTACTAATGATAGCTCAATTTTGAAAATAGAGCCCTTCTAGGTCATGCCCTCTCCTCCACCATGGCAAGAGAGAAACTCCATCACACCACTTTCTCTATACCCGCCTCCCTTTAAATTAGCAGGGTTCTGAATTGGTGGCTTGATTTTAATTGCTACCATATTCCTTCTGCACTCACTTAAAAGACAAGAGATATACTTTTAAAAAAAACCCAAAACACACAGTTTTAATTTAATTTAAGATAATAACAAACAAAAAAAAAGATAAAGAAAGAAAAGCACCTTTCAGAAAGGTGGGGATAGAGCTTCTGCTATAATTGTTTATATTTTTATTCTTTATAATAAAAATAAGGGAATTTTTTTCAACTCAAATGTTTCATATGAAATGAATGAACCAAAGTAGACATATATTTTTAAACCATTTAAGCTCAAAACCTATTCCTGAGGAGAAAAGTAGACTTGGTTGCATGACTTCTCCAGATTGGCAATTCCAAAACACGCTAGGATAAAGCAGCCAAAGAACTGTTTGCTCCACCTTTCATTCCCTTTCTATGGGCATGACCTATGTCATGGTGTCACACGTGTGACCCCACTTTACCTAAGTCACTGAAGATGTGCCTTTAGAAGGACATTGGCTTGTATTTAGCAATAATGCCTCCTCCCATAGCTTGGACTGTGGTCATTACTTAATGAGCCTCTGTCTTTGTCCTGCCATGGAAGAGAAAGAGGAAGCTTCTGTTAGTGCTCCCCTTCTGCACCCCACTGATGCTCCTGTGTTCAGGACCATTATGATTTCAGGGACTCCGTCTACTCAGCAGAGACCACTCAAAGGTGTAGCCAGCATTCTCATATACTTCATCATCAGTCCCTTTGCCCCAAGACTATCCAGAAAACATGATATAAACAGAATTTCTAAGGCAGTTTGTCATGGAGCAAATCCCAGTTTGTAAAAAGAATCATTGGAAGCATGATTTGGTAGTATTTTACCTTTCTGGCAAGAATTTGTGCCGGTGTGGTGTCTGATGATCCCAGCGCTGACAAATCTTGCCTGATTCTGTATGATCCATGGGACCTCGATAACTTTCCCCATTGCAGGTCATGCATTCAACTAATAAAATTAAAGTATGGCATGTTAATTGCTTCTGACAGCAAAATCAAGAACACCACTGTTCCATTGAAAGAATAGTATCTGTTTAGCAAAAAGATTTTTAGAACAATTTATGTACCATTTTAATGTTGAACTGGGGTCTAAGGTCCATAAAGAGTGACAAAAAATATTCCCTACAGTGCTCTTCATATAGTTTACATGGGATTTGTGTAGTTATTCGTACATATTTACCATAGGGCCAGGTTGCTACCTTTCTAATTTTTCAATAGCTGTCCAAAAGGCACCCAGAAACTGGAAATACAGGATTTCAGTGTCTATACTGACTGCAGAATAATTCTCTTCTCTCAACTTAAGCTCCAAACACAAAAACAGGAAATACACAACTTAAAATGAGTATACATGATACCCCTAGGATTAATGCCAAAATCAGGACCAGGTAAACTTGAGAGATCAACTTCAAACGTAAGTGTGGTACTATTCAAAGAACAGGGATATTTTAAAAGAAATCATGGCTCCTTTCTGTTTCTGAGTATCAATGTCGAATGACTGGGCAGACTTACATTCTTATCTAGACTAGGATAGAAGATGACCTGCTATTGAACTCCTTGTATTCAGTGTCTTTAAAATGTATACGCTCATGTAATTATGCAGGATCCTACTGATGATTCTGTGAGGTTAATTAATAGTTCTCCTCTGGCTGGCCTCTTATGTCACACTGAAAACTCTGAATCACATCAGCTAGCTGAAAATGAGACTTCTCAAATGGACAGGTTGATTTGTAGCACAGCAGGAATCCTATGGAATAAATCATTGCTTGGCTTTCTTACGAATCCGGCAAACTTCCCCAAACACATCATTTGTATCTTGTGACTACTGATCATCTAACTTTAGCCAAAGCAGAGTAAAGATATCAATGTTTAGCTTTATCCACTGGTATCTAGCCTAATAGGTATTTGTAATAATTTGGGATATAATATTAGAATAATCACTTCTGGACCTTTGATTTTTATAACCTAATAGGACAGTAACTATTAACTTTCTGAAATATAAGATGATTTGGCTTGATCCATCTACTTCTTTTTATGTTGCTTAATCTATGAACAAGACAAGGGACAATTCAGCTTCCTCTCATTAGATTCCGAGTTTCCCCAGACTGCAGTCAGTAAGCACCTGAACTATAAATGAGAGGTACTCTGTTTGGCCAAGGTCATTTCCACATTAAAATGCTGATGCTCAACCCTGGATTGTGGGCACATCTCAGCTTTCCAGTTCAATGGGGTACAGATTTATTTAGTTCCCTTTTTCAAAAGAATTCAAGGTTTGATATCTTCACAGAAAATGATGAGGCATTTATTATTCTTTGTTCCTTTGTACTGAGTGAAAAAGTAGAATTGAATACTATGATCACACGTAAGAAATAAGTATCCACATGTACAATCTCTAACCTTATATGGTACACAGGAATATATCTATGTCTCCTTAGGAGATGCAAGTTGATAAGAGTATATCCCTTTCAAATGAGAGTGAATATAATGATTTTCTGCAAATCAATATTGTGGGGATTATTATAAAAAATTTTCCTAAGGTTCAGGATTTTTAATCTTCTTAAGGTAAAATAGCTACACAAATTAAACAGATGATTCTATAAGACAGCTGCTTTACAGAATGAGTGTGGTAGATCACTGCTTCTCCAAACCTTAATGTGCATAAAAGTCACTTTGCAATCTTGTTAAAGAGCAAGTTCTGATTCAGAGGATCAGGACGGGGGCATCAATCGTTAGTTCCCAGGGGATACTGATGCTTCTGGTACTTGAAATTCACACTGAGTAGCAAGTGTGTGGATAATTCATTCTATTCTAGAAGTTCTAAGTGTCTGGTGGTAATGGCTTTGTCGGAGAGAAATGATTTTACTTGGGTATTGAAGGATGGATGGATTTGGATAAGCTATTACAGAGCAAAATAACATAAAATGGTACAGAAACATAAATTAGTGTGTTATGTTTATAGCAAAGTGAAGAGAGAGTTATGGATGCAGTTGCAGACCTAAGGAGATTTTTAAAAATAATAAAAGTCAGCAAGAATAACCTAAGATTTTGGTAGGCAATGAAAGTTGTTGTTGGGGTGGGAATAAAATGTGTCCTGTGATAGAACTGAGATGATAAGTATATTATAGTTATAAATTCTTTGATTACTCAGTACTTTTAACATACAAGAAATCATTTGACCCTTGCAATGAGGAAAACAAGGCTCACACAAGTTTTAAGGGACTTACCTAAAACAGAAAATGTCAGACCTGTGCCTGGAACACAGCCCTTCTGACCCACAGTCCAGGGTTCATTCCATTCTTCCTAATTATTTTTTTGTCTCATGTATTTTAATTTGTTTCCTATGCATTCTGATTGGTCATACTTTTACGATAGACTCATAGCAATAATTTTAGAAAGTCAATCTCCCTGCCTTTTCAACATTGTCTTCATTACCCCCTCTGCCTTCTTGTTTATAACAGTAAGTTGCCCTGTTGTATTCTCACCTATTGGAGGATGGGGAGAAGGGGAGCAAGTAGATCGGCCACCTTACGTGGGCTGAAAAATTTGTTGTTTTACTATTGCATCAAGCCATCAGGTTACTAGTAAAAATCACCTCAAGAAAGTCAAATTTTAAACTCACAGTCACTTTTCAAACTTCCAGAATTCTAAGAAACTCTAAGTTTTCCAAGCTCAGTCAGGCAGTAGGGATGGAAATCAAGTCCATCTACTCATGGAAGTAGGTGAAAATATGATCTATATAACACTGCATAGGGTGAGGATCACCCCTCTTGCTCTATGTCCTTTTGGCTCTTTAGTTGCCGGTATATTATCCAACAGCTCTAGCAAGTTCATCCTTTTAAAAACAGAACAAAACAAAAAACAAAAGCAAAATGCTGTCCCAAATCACATAAACTCAAACTAAGTAAGTGTTTCTATTCGTAACTAGAGTAGTTTTCCTAAATATACCTCTGGCCTAAATGAAAGTAGAAAAATATATTAACTACACATGAATAGTAATATAAATAGGATTCATTTAGCATCTTTCTCATCATATTAACCAACCAACTCAAAAATTATTGTGTTCTGTTTTTCTCAATTATAAAATTAGAAGTGATCTGAGTTTACAGACTAAAGTAACTATTTTGAAAATATCTCTCAGAAAAATCCATGCTGGTGATTACTTCAGCAAAACTGTATGTTTGAAATATGGATATTTTCACAAACCCACATTTATAAATAATCATTTTATTTAAATCTTTGTTTTTAAAAGTCCTTCTCCACGGAATATGAAATTATACACATAAAGTTATAGCAGTATTATTTGGGATTTTAAATGTAAGTTATAAAAAATAATGATTATGGCTTAATAAAATGTATTCACTTGAATATTTGACACTCATTAAAAAAGACATCTGTTCCAATAACTGGTGATTGCTATGTTCTAAATCCCAAGCAAATGTTAAAACAAGAAATTGGACTTTAGACAACTCAGTTTTTTATAGTATTTGAATTAAACATCAATGCTACTATTTTCTTTACATATTGTGTAAGTTTCTAAATATGATAAAAGTATTCATTTTCTTTTGGAATGCTTAATATATTTCAAAGATTAAATTATAAGAAAATAATATTAATCACTAGACCTCAGATATACTTCTTTTATGAACCAAACTTTCAGATAAATTTCAGATGATTATTCAGCCAAGAGTTTAATAAGGTTATAAAAATTTCAAGAAATACATCTACATTATTTTGTATATTTTGTATTATCCATTTTATAAATAGCTCTGTTTTTCTCTATTAATGTATTGACAGTGCTTCTTATTTTAGATCCTCTTCAGTAAAATCCTGCTAACGCATTATTCAGTATAGTGTGAATTTAAATATCACAGCTCAATTCACACTCCCCGAAATATGTTTAGCCTATAGGACAGGTGTTGGTTCACGTCTCTCACAGGATTGTTATTCAACTACCATCAGATTTCTAATTACTTCCAGAAAAAGCCTATCTGCAACCTTCAGTGCCACAGTGACCAATAGCATCATCTGCCATTAATACTAATGAGCAATGCCCTTTTATAAGGAAGTGTAATGACCTCAAATTAATAAAGGATAATAGAGATGTACATTCTAATGAGATGAGGATAACTGGAAATAGGATTTTTCCAATTACTTCTTTTCTAGCACATTTATTCTATGTTGTCTATCAGTCCAGATCTATGCCAGTGTATTTTGATGAAGGTTCTTATAAACCAGGGTTGAGAAATCACATTCCCACATGAACTAGGCAGGTAACATAAATGCTAAGCTATTTAAAGTTTGACCAAGTTACCTTCCCTTGAAAACACTTTCCCAGATCAAAAAACATCACTAAACAAAACTCCTTGCAATGACTTTCAACCTCAGAAAACTGTGATAGTGGAGAGTTCCCCCAAAAAAGTAGGGTTTTTTTTCTTCCATGTGTAAATTTAAAACAAATATTAATTACAGATTTATTCATACAAAACAGACTTGTTCATAACGTTATCACAGATAAGTTTATTATTTTTAAAAGAGAAGAAAACAACGAAGAAGTTATAGTGAACAGAATATGATATGGAATGGAAAGTAAGAATTTACAAACAGATGGAACTGGCTCTAGCACATGAAGTCAAGAATTTTAAATTAACTACAACAGAAAACAAATTCACCTTCTCCATGACAATTCGCTAACAATGGCCTTTTTATGTGATCAATATCAACCTAATATTAAATGGGTATTTATGGAAAAATAGTTCAAAAAATTTGGTTAATAACAAACAGGTACGATATCTTACTATAAAAATTGGACAGCATCCCAGCAGCCCCCTACCCCCAAGTACTTCAAAATCCGACTAAATTTCTATCAGAACTTAATGCATGTTTCATTTGGATTTTTAGAATTTTAGTTGCTGACAGAACTGAAAAACCAGCTGTTCAGCAGGCAGGTAACTAAGAAAAGTGAAACCACATACAATGCTGAAGTGGTTACTCTTCCTTCTTGTCAGGCCTTCAGCTTTCCAGTGCAAGAGTGAGGACAGGGCCCCTTTACGCTGTGAGGGGAGGTAAAAACAGACATGGCCTTAGGGTGCCTGCCTTCAAGACAGGGTGGGCTCTATGGCTTTGATCTCTTCAGATACTATTGTTAATGGCGTGTAGTGTCAGTCTATGTATCAAATTTGCTTTCCACCAGAAGGCACACAGGTGGATCGAACTTGCAGCGACCCCTCCCCATATTCTCTTCTGGGCTCATGTACCCTGGCCACACCACTTCAGGGCAGGTTTGACAAAATTTCTGCAGAAGCAGGTGCTGGATGAATAGAAGTAGCATTACTCTTAAAGAGCATAGCTTCCTTCGGCTCCTTTCAGGTGACATGTGGAAAGAGACTGTGAGGTATGTGAACTCAAGACAGTAGATGAGGAAGCCCAAGCTTCTACTCTCCCCGGAGGGATGCCTCAGGCTCGGTTGAAATTCAAACTGATAACTCTTTTGTATTAATCTGATGAAAATCAGTTTTTAAAACATCGTGTAAAAATGCTCAGATAATTATATATAGTTGCATTTGAATGAACAACATATTTATTACGCTTTGATTCGTCTCTGTTAACCTTTAACGCGAGTTGCAGTTTTACACAAAGCGGGAGCAGAGCGCCCCACACGGCATTCAGGTTCATTTACCTTCTGAACACTGAGGAATGTCACAGACTTCGTAGCGTACCTCTGGATTGCTTGTGAAACACCAAGGTCCCCCTTCTTCCCCTCGAGGATTTCGACAGTAGTTTTCCTGTAGGTCTTTACCCCGATAGCTCGAAGGCAAAAAGCTAGTTTTAAAATGATAATCATTACAGTATAAGAGCATGCAACTTTATTTTGGGCCTATTACTTTTACTAATTAGTGGGTAAGTTTTTCCTGAAGTACAGAAATCCTTTATTCTATCTCAGACTTCCTCATATATTAATTTGAACTCTGTCACTTTCATCCATTCTTAAAATACTTAAATTTTATAAATATTTACCTGACCGAATTCCCACATTCAACGTCATTAACAATGACTCATCTCTGGAGTTGCTAATAGCCAATCATTCTAGAACCTAATTGACATTGTTCGAACCACAATTTCAAAGCTCCTCTCAAAGTCAGCACCTGATTGAGCAAGGCCACTGAGGAGAGAATGGAAGAAACACTGCAGTTGACCTTGAAATCTCACTATTATACTGCTTATCTGAGATAATTACTTGTTTGTTTCTTGCTTTTCTCATGAAGAATAGCCCTCTCCCCCCCCCCCCAGTTGAGAAACAGGTTGACGAAGTGACACAAACAAAGGGTCTAGAATCAAATTAAACCTGGATTCAAATTTCAGTTCTCTCTTTTACTAACTGGAGACCCCAGCAGGTAATTTAGACTCTCTCAGCCTTTTAGCTTACCTGCACATGGAGTATAATCATAACTTAAAGCATCTTACACTTCATATGGTGTTTTGAGAAGTTCAAAGAGATGACAGAGTAATCGACAGTCAATAAATGCTACTTATTATTAACCTCACTCCACCTAGTAGTCTTTACCCTGTCATAGTAAAAAACATAATTACTTATTCTCTTCAAAAAATTTAGCAATTTTCACTGCAACTGGGGTTTAGTGCTTCCAGACTGAGTTTTTAACAGTTTGCCATTGGGTGCAGAGACTGTAATGCATTATCTTCATTTGAAATTTGTAATGCCCTAGTTATAGTTTTCTGATCACCATAAAGTATTTCAACACAAAATCAGAAAAATCCAAAGCCTTTTTTATTCGTTTGTACTGCTTGTGGCATTGGCCTCAATGATGCTTTCTTCTGCTAGACTGAATGCAAAAAAATCGTGTAAGGAAGAATATATATCTGTGGGTAACACTAAACTTTTTTTTTGAAAATCCAGTTACATTTTCGACACTCAGTTCATTGTTGCTATAAAGCTTTATTTCTACTCTTACTGTTTCTGAGTTCTAACTGATAGTTCTAGTGAAGTCAAAGGATTTTAGTCTCTAAGTAAAAACCATTCAAATGTGTTTCCAATCCACTGAAACTTATTTAGAAATCATTGCTTTTTTTTGTTATGTTGTGACACAAAATGTATATGGATGTGCATTGGGTACCGAGAAATATTTTGCAATGACATTTTTTTCATTTGGACATGAAATATACCAAAGTTAAGTCCTCAGAAAATATAAATTATTGGTTAAAAAGAGTCTATTTTAAGAGACTTACTACTAACCAAACATTTTCAAGGAAACTGGTATTATAAATATTATGAAACTCCAAAATGTCTTTAGATAGAATTTATATCCTTACTTGATTAGAATTTTAAATATGGGGTAACAAAAATTAGATATTAGGCCATATGATTGACATAAATTATAATACAATTAAATCTCATCATGATTTCACAGTTCCTAACAATATTTAATTTTAAAAGAAAAAGAAGGCATCTTTTTTCTTATTTTTGGCCCTTTTATTCCAGAATAGCTTAGGATACCTTTTTTTGTTCCAAGCTTGAAATTTTCTTTAATTTTGCCAGTTTTCCAACTTTTCATAGTAAACTTCTAATGAAATACTCATTTTCCTGATAGAATCAAAACTTTTACTTCAGATTGTTTTGTGTAAAGTAATACATAAGTGTACCTAAAAAAATGCTCCCATAACTCTATTTTATGAAAATACTTGGTATAGTAGAGTAGAAAGAATAAGTAATTGTTAATCACAAAATCTACATTGTTGCCGCATATATATCACTTGGCTACTTATATGACACTAGTCCTTAGTCCCTACCTAATTTATTTACTCTTTGCTTTTCACTTCTTCACTTATATATGGAGTGAATTTGATTATTGTAAGGTCTTTTTTTGTCATTTTATGTATTAAGTTTACTTAGAATAAGTTAAATAATGGATTTAGTACATGTTAAATACACACATATTAAATATCTATGATTTTAGAGAAGACTTGTCGTACACACACACACAAACACACATAGAACACATATACCTTGCCAGTGGATTTGTAAAGCTAAAAAGAAGCTGTAAAGAAGTAGCGAATGAATCAGTCAATGGTTTAGTAGTTTAGTTTAGGTACGGAAGAGAGAAAAAGTAGAAATCAGAACTAGATGTGGCAGAAATATGAATAAAATTTTCTCACTGGAGTTAATAAAATGCAACTGAAAAGAAAAGGTGCTGCTTTCCATAATTCTATGTCAATGCACATGAAATTCCTCTTTAGGACATTCATGACAGTCTGGTCGTCTCTTCCCTTCATTCTTTGGTGTGTATGGCTTTTTACCCAAATTAGCTGGTTTTCTTTTGTGTCCTGAGGTATAGCCTGCTTTTTTTAAGCATGCTGTACTTGGCCAAGGGATGAAGCCAGCCCTGCTCTTTTCACTTTTATATGTTCATTCAACAAATGTTGAATTACACACAAGCCCTTTGCCAGTCAAAGCCTGTGTAATAAACTTTTATTCACATATATACTATTTATGGTTCTTTATCACTGTTAGCAAGGCTTTAAGAGAGAGAAGCAAAGAAATATTTAAAACTTAGTTATATCATGTATACTTTGAAATATAAATTAGGTCTTCTGGGCGCTAGTCACCTTTTCTTTTCTTTTAATATAAACTGCATTCATGGGAAACTTGATCTATTCCATCATCTGCTTCGTTAATGAATGCTGGTGGCCAGTGAAGGATATAGATGTAGATATCGAGTCACCTGATTTTCTGGTTAAGCTTCTATACTAATTTCTTCATCTATCATCATCTTCCCATTAAGCCACTTATAACATATTTCTATTTAGGAGTCAACAATAAATCACTCTTCCAGACAAAGATATATATATATTTTTTCCATTTGCCATAAAGTTAATCTTTATGTAACACTTAACTTAAAAGTGTTAAGCTATCATGCAGATAAACCAATAAGCGGCTAATTGATGAAAATTAAGTGTTACCATTGTTAAACAAACAAACAGACAAAAAAGATTTGATTAATATACAAGATATTCTCAGCCCTAAACTTCCATATCACAAGGACATGTTTGTTGGTAAAATAGCTGATTAGACTGGGAAGCCAGTTCCAGGGAGATCTATTTCACATGTACTCTTCTCGCACAGAATCACAATCATAGAGAATTTGGGTTGAAATAAGACCTCTACTGGGTCAGTCCAGTGCACTCAACTAGGGTAGGATTGATTTCAAATGTTATTCCTTTGTTCATGAAAAACTTAGATCGATCTATTTAAATAACATGTTTTCCTCATATGGTGTCATAGGAGTGACACCATACAAATCCTTATGAGGGAACAAACCAATTATATTGGGTTTTTTGCTTGACAATATAATGCTACGTTTCAGAGGTATTTGTGTATTATCGTAAGTAACTAATTTGGAAAAAAATTAGTTGTTTTCTGTTATTAAAACCCTGTAAACTGGTCAACTTGGACACTCACTAGCTGGTGTTAATTAGGGCCGGGATCACAGGTTTGATCCCAATGTGGAGCAACAAACTCTTTTTCTTTACAGGTGGGACAATTAGCTCATGTCTGTTTACAGCAGTGAAATCATCTTGCATAATTATGCCCCTCATAAATGAATGAAGTGAAATAAAAAAGTGAATTCATCAAGGCAAAGTCATCACCCTTATTGCAAAAACAAGCCACAGTATGTGTTTCATGCCGTTTTATGTTAAAAACACACGTTATACAGTGACACTGGCTGGGCTCACATTCCGGCCAGAGGACTTACTAGTTGTGCATGACCTTGAAAGGTTCCTAAGGCTTTTGTTCTTCAGTTTCACCATATATAAAATAGAATTAATAAAACTACCCACTATGTGGTTCTTGGGGGGATTAAATGAGATAAATAAGATAGACTCCTCAGCAAGGTACTTGGCTCGTGGTAAACGAAATCTTCCAATGCATTTACTAACCAAGGAGAACTGTTTTAAACTACCTTAGTTCCTTTCAAAGTTATTTGTGAATTGAGTTCCGGAAAAACTGGGGCTAAATTTAGTTCTTTAGTGAGTATTAGAAATCTATATTTTTCTTCCAGGATGATTAAAACTCTCAGACTAATGAGCCCATGGATGCTGTGTTTACTCATCTTTAAATAGCATTCATCTGTTATAATGAACACAGTTCTTCTCTGAAGTGTAGACATTTAATTTCCAGGCAATGAGAAGTTTTGTCCAGTCATTAGGCACTGGGTGAAATGGGAAACCTGGTCAGTCTCTGGCATGACTTATTAGCAGAGCTTCTCAATTTTGGCTGTACTTGAGCTTAAAAAAAAAAAAAAAAACAAAAAAAAACAGTGCCTGGGTTATTCCCCTAAAAGATTCTAATTTAATTGGCCTGTGTTGATGCCTGGGTGGTGAGATTTGTTAAGGGCTCATAGCAGGTGATTTTAATGTGTAGCCAAGGTTGTGTACCACCATAGTTAAAGAACAGTCAGGCCCTGGGTCAGGTCAGAATCTGATCCATCATATTTATATCACAGTCAACCTCTCCACTCCAGCTGCAGGGTGCTGTACCTTCTGGAAGGCAAAGAAAGCAGGGGAAAAATCTTTTTTTTTTTAATCACATGTTCATTACTTCCTCACCAACACCAAGATGTATAAGCTGACGTTTTTGAGGTAAGATAGCATCAGGCCTCATCTTAATGATAAATTTATTCATCTTTGAATCTCAGTCATGAATTCACATAATCCTTGGCTTAATGCCATTCAGAAAAACTGGCTGTCCTTATAGAACCGTAGCATTATTCTGAAGGACTCACATGAGATTGCCAACACACATATGAAAAAGAAAGGCTCTGCTCTCCTTTTCCCATGCTTTTCTTACCTGTGTTCATGTGGGATCATGGAATTCCAGGGCTGGCATTTGATGCCGCTCTTAGTGATAGCTACGGTTCCCTTGTAGCTACCTCCTTTACCAATGATGCAGTTTCTAATGTAGTCTATCGGGAGAAAGCAGAGAAAAACTATATAACTATGTGTAACATATGTTGCATGTATTAAAAAGGAAAAAGAAAACTCTATCCAAATCTTTAGCTAATTAATGTTTATAAGTTCTCTCAAATCGTACTGACATTTCTTGCCTACAGTGTCTACTGTTTTCAAAACAATACATTTCAGTATAATACAAAACAAAACAAAAAAAGACTACGGAGAAGTTTTAATTTTGTGAGTATATTCCTGGATACAGCAGAGAGTAGTCTATGTATACACAACTGGCCAGGCAAATTTAATGTGACAGAATGATTTGCTCAAATATACTAAGCATTTTAAGAAAATGTTAAAAATAAAAAATAGGTAATTTGTAAACTCTATTCAATTCAAAGGGTTACTTTGAGATAATAGAAATAACTAACTTGTCTTTACCTCAATAAAATTGTATAGGTTTTTGTATATGTGTGTGTGTGTCTGACAGTTGTATTATGTTGATTATTATTTTCTATATTTTTGCTAACTTTTCAGCTGCGAAACTGTAGAGCAATTAAATTTAAACAAGCTATATATTCCTATCAAATAATAGTATATACAGTTGCTAGCAACCTAGAAGATTAAAAGATGGCCTTATACTAGATCATAAATTATGTTTAGGAATTGTAGCTTTATTGGGGTATATAGAGATCATCTTATTTTCTTTCTTTTTAGATCATCTTATTTTCTATCATAAATTAATTTTAAGTGTCTACCTTCTTAACAAGGAAATATCTGTGTATATTATCAAGTACTCATTAATGACACAATACGATTTAAGAAAACACTAAACTTCAAATAAATACTATTATCATAAATATAATCCATAATCATTATTTTGTGTGATAAGAGATTTATTTTGTAAAACTCATATTTATTTAACATTCTCCAATTATTTCCTTGATATAAATCTGCTTTGGAGCAAAGTAAATACATGTGAATATAGTATCAGATAAACAAAATAGACACATTAACAAATAATATGATCTCAATTCTTCTTTTAAAGATTTTCAAAGTATATAATTAGGAAAAGACACAACTAATATTTCAAAATCTCCACATTTTATTATCAGCAATCACCACTATGACAGATTAGTTACCCAAAGTTGTTAACATTTAAAATGCAATGTAATAAGCTCAAAATGTACTATAAGGTGTTTTAAACTATTAATTTAAGGTGGCACTTTCTAAAATGAACATGGACAACATCAGTTCTAGGAGATGCTCCTAGAAATAAATAAAGAGGGAGGGAGCAGTCTAATCATGGAAAGTTTGAGAAATGCTCTCTTTAAAATATCATATTGAAAATAGTCAAGACACTAGTATCCTCTGTCTTAAAGGAAGAGTTGACTGCATAACAGATATAGCATATAATAGAAAAATTAGTGGGCAAGAGCACTGTGGCAGGAAATTACATATATTTTATGCTTTATTTTGTTATGAAGTATTTAGGGAGAAGCCAGTTACCTTTGTTTTCATAGAGATCAAATTCGTGACCAAACTCTTTTTTCACTCCACTTGTCATGCTATTGAAAGGGAACCAGAGGCATCGTTTCCTTGCTTTATCAAAAACAAAAGCCCTGAAAAAAATATCTAAATGAAAAGAAGGAACACTACTACTTATACAGTTTTTAAAGAATGGGCACATGGTTTAACCAAGGAGGGCAATATAAAAAGACACATGGTTATATATGCATAATAAAAACATGAGTGATTTTTGAACCTACCATTTTGATAGCTAAATAAGGAAGAACAAAATTAAGTTTTTATACGTGTAGATTTAAATATCAGAATACTATTTGGAATGTTCTCATGTTATTTTAAATGATGTCTAGAAAAATGAAGTCTTAAACAAGCACAATCAATATATAACACAACTACTTGGATTATTTCTGAAGACATTTTTTGGAAGTACACAGCAAGTAGGAAGATTCTGTTTGTAGTTATATACAAATGATTATATCTGAAATATTGTGATTAATTTCCAAAGTTTGTAATTGTGTAAAGTACATTCTAAAATGACATTTCCTAAAATGCATTAGACAAATCTCCACCCAGGAAATTATCCTAGCAAAAGGGATCTGAAATCAAATTTTGGAAAGTTTTGCATATTCTATCCCTTCTTGGTGAGTTATAAAGCATGGAAGGTTATTAAAGGCTATGAAAATCTTGCTATCAGATAGATAAGTGTTTATGTAAGGCAATGTTTCCTAAATAGACTTGCTTGCATAGACATTTTTAATTTAAAAAATCTATTAATATCACACTGCATACGCTCTTGATATATCTATCTTGAAGAAAGTTACTAAAATGTGTCACTCCTACAATCATCATTCTTATTGCTAAGTATTATATTGGGTTTTGTTGTTCACTAAAAAAGTCTTTCTAAACAAAATAAACCCTTAACTGAAAATAGTAAAGAACTTGATAAAATTTTCAACATATTAAATGTTACCATGTCTTACAATGTAGAAAATGAAGTGGGAATTCTGACCTGTTTACCTTCCTTTAAGAAATGGTATTAAAACTCCTTCTCACTATGATTGTGCTAATTACAATGTCACCATGAACAAGTATCTAATTAAACAAAATACAGATTTTCTAAGAAAAGGGTTTTTCACTTCTAATCTATAGAATATCTTTTAAGAACATATATTTTTCTTATAATTTTAGATATTCCAAGCTAGTCACTTATTTCTTAATAATTTGCCAAATTTTAAATAATTTTAAATAAGGGGAAATAACTTTTATGAAACATAAAAAATATGTAATAAAATTATTTAAAACATTTTACCTATGATCTAATATTTCTATGTAGTACATTTTATTCTATATTCAAATAACTCCAAAAATTTTATGCATAAACTTTGAGCTTTGATTTACACATCGATAATTTGAAATATCTACCTACAAGAACATCTTACAGCTGAAATCGTAATTAAGAGCAAATCATAAAAGTATATTTTTTCAGCGGTGGCAGATAACTTAAGAGAGGATTGGCTAATGATAGCAATAAGACTTGAGTTTTGATCTAGTGGGCTGTAGCCTTATGCAATACATGTTAAATTCTCTATTACGCTATTGTAGCATGTTGAGGTGTATTAAATGACTTTGAATGCATAGTAATTAGAAAAAGAACACATATTAAAAAAAACTAAACAAACATCTAAAACCAAATTTTAAAGTTACAGTTGCCACTTAACTTCACGTTAAAATAAAGTTGTGTGACACATAGATAACTACTCTTCTATGGATAATATGGCTTTGACATGAGAATGCCTTGGAGGTGACTCATGAGCCCCATCAGGAACATGCAAGATTTGCCTCCGTGAATACACAGGTGATTCCATCTGACAAGTGGGTAACCAAGTTTCCAGTTTGCTGACTTGACTTCACCTTTTTGCTCATTCCATTACAATGTCATACTCTCTCAGAAAAGTGTTTCCTTGAATCACCTTATACCTCCAAATAGACTGGATCCAAACAATAGATTCTAGAGTTGCATCTTCTTTTAAGTTTGACTTTAAGAGTCTTTATCTTATCCTTATTTTAATTATCATATTCCTTTCAATAATTTATTTTGTCTAGTTTTCTAGTTGTTTACATCAGGAAGGCAATTCCAGTACCAGTTACCCAGTCATGGGTGGAGGAAGAAAGCCTCATATTTTCTTCTCTTGAGTCAAGTCATGGAGAGCAACTTCCTGAGGAGCTTAGAATCAAGCATTCTGGTCCTCTTTCCTACCCAGCAAAAAAGAACTTTGATCTCTGTAAAATCAATATTGTTGATACCTTCTCAGGAGATTGTGTTTGAGAATGTTCCAACCCATACCCACTGAATCACAGATGCTTTCACACAGCACTGTTGGTATTTTCCAAGCATTTTTGTATATTTGCCATTGTCTTTCAATGATTCTAGTCCATATAGCAAGCCTGCAAAAAGATCCTTTAATTCATTAAGAATCTAATTTCAGAGAATCACAGTATGTCTGTTCAATTCTGAACAACCAGTGTATTTAGTGATTGCAAACACATGTGCCTATATATTTGGGATAGACAAGTGAGAAGGATGACACATTTCTGAGCAGAAGAATTCTTTCCGTACAAAGGTATTATGCTTGTGGTTTTCTGCACAGGTTGCAATAAGTTTGAAGGCTAAATGTAACTCAACCAGAATACAGTAGGAAAGTATGAAACCTCATATATATGGGATATATAAAGATTTTTAATCATTTCACATGTGTTCCCTAATGCAGCAAAATCATCTTAGTTCCTCCTAAATAAAACATAGGGAAAGGTTTTTGTTTTGTTTTCTAGAGATAAGGCTGACTAATGTGAAAATCAAAAGGTAGTAATACTTTCCTTAATCTTGGATTCAAGAGAGTGTATTTTCAGACTCTGAGTTAAAAATAAATAATAAGATGAGGTTCTCCCATTTCCCTTGCCCCACCTCCCCAAGCCTGTGAGGGAAAATACAATAAATCTAACCTTCTCAATTGTGAGAACATCACCATAAATCTACACAGTTATGATGTTGATTGAGAGTAGTTTTCTCTAGCTTATTTTGGATAATCTGAAGGCAGGAAAGTCAGGAGAAGAAACAGAATTATCATAGGAATATACTTGCAAAATCAATTCCCCACTCCCCTTGCCAGGAAATATCTCCCTGAAAGTGGCAGTTTGACAATAAAAATACTTTCAGAGGAGTTGTAAATGAATAGAAGGGAGATAGTCTGTCCTCCACTACATCTGTCAAGGACCTCCTCTGACCAGGTCCTTTCCCCCAGACCCATAACACTCATTTCTCTGAAAAAGGTAAAATGAGATTAGTCTCGCTTGCCACAGCATTACTAAAATCTGGGTTCACATTACATGTCACTGTTCAAATGCAGTGGAGTAGAATTCTAAACTGACAGGATATCATGCACAGTCCTGTAAAAAATAGAATGAAATAGAGAATAAATGGGTATAAAGTAAATGAGGGGATGGGGATGTTTACAAAGAAGAGTGAGGAAATGCATTTTCTTCTGGCAATTCAGAAAATTATTCAGATGCAACTGTCTCCTGCTTGGCCCCAAACTCCCAAGTTTTATCCTTGGGATCGCGGGCAAAGTAGGAAGGAATTCCCCCCTGTGAGGTTGCACAGGGAATTTCAAATGATAAGAAAACCCTCCGTTTGAATCCCCTCATGCCTCTTTGAATTTCTCTGTCACTTTTCACCTAAAACTTCATCATCACTACCCCTAAGTCCTTTTGAACAGCCTTTGCTGCTGACACCAATCCCTCTACTTTTTTATCTAATTCTCTCAACACCTTTTATTTAAATCCCTAGACAATGATGTAAGATGCAGTAAATTCTGGCTCTGGCCCAACTTATATTCTGAAAATTCCTCCACTCCTCTTGCAAGAAAAAAAAAATTACTCTGAATAGAATATTTTAAAATGTTGGCTAAAAGGCAATCTAATGGAATTTTAGTTTCTAAAGTTCAACTGTTCATAAGATGAGAAAACACAAATTCCATAAGCAAGGGCATTCTGGGTTCTAAAAGATATCCATTTATGTTCTCTCCCTTACTCATATTTCCATCAACTGAGGGCTACATTTTCTGTTATAATGAATTAAAACTAAAGTCAAGCTTATACTTTTAAGGGCAAATTACACTGAATACAAAGAAAAAAAAAGAAAAAAAAAACATGACGATAATTAGAAGATGTTATATTTGGAAAGTTATCCTAAGAACAAAATGAAGCAACTTACTTGCAAGTGAATGGAAGTCCTTTATTCCTAATACATCTATTGGCACATTGGTCTGCAGTGTTCATTTTTTTTGTTTTTATCTTCAGTAATGGGTCTTCTTTAATTAGAGTAGTCTTTGCTGACTTTTTGAATTCATGAAGTGTGTTTCTTCTTTTCTTCTGTCCTTCTATTAATAATAATAATTTTTTTTAAAAAAATGGAGGAAAGCTTTTAAGGCTCATATAGAAAAAATGTCCTTAAGGATCATCCACAAGATAGTGATTTTATCTGACAACATACTAGATCTCCAGGGGTTGGGGGTGAAGTGAGGTGGGGATTGATACTCTCAGATAGTTAAGAGCAAGAGAGGAATATTGTAACCAGTGAAGAATAAGTAACTTTGTCATGTAGGGTCACTCATCTACATTCTTTAAAATGAAATATGCTTATAAAAATTAGGACAGAGTTCACTCTACAGAAATAAATGACATGATATTCTCCAAACAGTATGAAAGCAAATGCCCAGGCATATCATATCATGCTCTGTAATTAAATTTGTCATTTCCTTCTACAGTTGGTCCTTATGTAAGTTACAGTATTAATTAGATAAGTCAATTCAATTACATGTGAGAAACTTCTCACTAAAAATGGTTCAGTGGATATAGTCTTCTGGCTCTCTTTAAACTATTTCATATTATTCATATTTTAGCCCTTCTCATTTCCTACAGAAGTGTTTTCTGTGCTTGGGGGTACTATTTCTTAAGTATCACTGAATTGTTTGTCTTGAAATCAAGCCAAATGCTATAAATCAAATGTATGTAAAACTTCAAGCTTTAATGTAGCAATATCATTTTTCTTCAAGAGAGTATTCTACAAGGCCCCTAGATAGCACGAAGCCTCCTATTAAAAATGTGAAAAACAGAACTAAAACATCCTAAAGGACTTAATCTTACAGATGACTTTAGGGTATCAAGAACTACTTCTTCATTCTTGATGTGCCCAAAGTTACCTAGCTTCTAATGATGGTCACCATCTTCACAATGAGGATCAAAATGTCTAAGAGACTGCACCTATTATACAATAAGGATGGCCATGATTATGCCTCTCCTCTGCCTGCCAGTTCTTTTGAACACCCTTATAACAAAGGCAGTAATAATATATTCATTTTTAAGATATAGAAACCAAGACACAGAGAAAAATTAATTGCCATTTAGCAAACCTCATTTGAAACCCAGCTGCCTCACTTCAGAACCCCCAGCCCCCATTCTTAAACACTCATGATGCCATCTTTTCTCTTTCTTTTTAATTCTAAGTAAGTAGAAATATGGCTTATAAATATTTTCTGAAGATCCGGTTCAGAGCTATCAGTAGAGAAGGAACTTGGATGGTAGAACAGGAAATGCATTCCTGGTCTTTATATGTGGTGAAATGTGCCAAGAAAAGAGAGTGAAAATTTTTATGCAGAAAATTTGGAAATATGGCTAGCAGAGTGAGGTACAAACAATGGCATCATACTCTCAACTTTGCCAGCAACCACTGGCTCCGGTTGGTTTATTAAACATGCAGATGCTATTCATTAATGTCTATCCTAACCTGAAGTCCACAATAAATAAGAGAAAACATGAAGTCCTCTAAATTTCTGGTTCTCTGTAAAACTTCAGAGCACAATCCCCAAAAGACTGGTACTAATTTCTGTAATAATGTTTTCATTTTTAACTTTTCTTTGCCCTAAAAGATGGAATGGCCAGGGTACAACAGATATAATTTAAAAGACATTTTAACATAGAAATACATTCAACCAAATAATCTATCAACATGTTATTTATTGAGTGCGGAGCAAATGCCTTGCATAACATTGGCAGACAGATGATAATTCTGGCAGTCTTACCGACTTGCCAAATGACTTTGTTTAATTACCTGAACTGCTAATATACCAATGACTCAGTCTACAAAATAAAAGTTATATTATATTTGAAGCTATTTAAATTATAATTATTAAGTAAATATTTGGAAATTAATTCAGATAAAAATGTTATAAATATGCAAAGTTTTAGCTTTGCTTTTGAAATTCCATTCTTTAATTTCTGGCATAGAGAAGAAATTGTTATTCTCCCAAGCAAAGAAGTGGTATAATTCTTTTCACATTTTGGTTTCTGCCACAGAACCATGTTAATGGGAGATATGTCTCTGCATTAGGAGTTTCTTCCTTTGACCGTGGTGCACCATTTCTGAAGTGCTGTAAAATGTTTCACAGAATAATAATCATCTGATTTCCTATATAATTTGGAGTATTTCTTAGAAACAAATAGTAGTTTATGGATGCTGAAAATCTATTAAATAAAACTGTTGACTAAAATGGAAGATATATATATAGATAGATATAGATGTGTGGATTATATATATATATATATTTCTTAAATAAATTCAGTTAACTAAAAATATAGAATTAAAATTGGCCTGATGAATAATGTGTTTATTATACATATCTAAGTGTGAGAGAAGAGCATAAAACTAAATTTTCAAAGTTTGAGGCAAGTATTAAATTCAGATATGTATTTTACTAATTATCAAATTCATTTAACTAAAATGAATTAGTTAAATCTATATAGATATAGATATAGATAGATACAGATAAATTTTAACAGTCTGAGGCAAACATTAAATTCAGATATGTATTTTACTAATTATCAAATAAAAAAACCCCTTGTGGATGCTCTGGTTTCTTGGCTCAATACCATGCACTATGAAGGCAAGTACTGAAGACTACTCTAGAGAAAAGAGGTCTCTGTGGGATTGTTGGTTGTGTTTAACTCTACAGATCCTCAGTTGTCCTATTGAGATGTGTTAATGTGTGGCTATACCTCATAACAGTAGTCTAACTCTTGCTTGCTGATAACTTTTTCCATCACCACCTTTCATCTAAAGATCAAAAAGCATTCAGAAAAGCAAATAAATCTATGATTTCCCTTTACTAGATAATAGATAGGAGTGAAAAGCTTGTATGGGCCTACAGAACTAATCAAAGGCAATGGGAACCAGATATCAGGATTCTCTTTTCACTATTTATTTCTCATGATTTAGAAGCTTTCCTTTATAATTTAGTCATTTCTACTAGGTCAGTAACAAATTACTCAAAAAATGTGAAGTTCAAGCTCGTTGTACATCATGTAATCCAGGCATCTATAAAACTAATTTCTTCTTCAATAAAAGAAAAATTCAAAACAGGAGTCTAAAAGACAGCATGTCAAAATAAAACTCCTTTTCTGAAAATAGTTTCAACTTTTTCTTCCATATGTATTAACAACTGACGATTGTTTTACTGAAAACAGTTAAAAGACCAGCTTAATTTGGGAAGAAACTAAAAAAAAATATATCTTTGGATCAGATTTTTCCCTACTATTTCTTTGTGCGTGACTATTAGTTGAAGTTTATAAACAAAATATTGAAATGAAGTCAAAGGGTGAGAGATCACAGCAACTTTGTCATGCTTTCTTGTACTTTAAACTACAACTCCTTTCTCCTCTTCTCCCAGTATGGGAAAACATTCTGGAAGCTATATTTCCTGAAGAACCAGAAATCCTTGTTTTAGAATTGAAATCGTTAGGATCTTAGTGAAAACCTACAAACAGAAAGTAGGGTCAAATGTATCAAGGTGCTTGAAGAAAGACACATTTCTCCCTCTGGTCCCCTGGCCTCACACTCATTTCTCTCAGTACCTCATATATTTTCTTCTCTGTATGGACTAACCATTGACTTCAAAGGAAAATCATGCAAGGAAAGGATTTGCAGGGTGTGGAAAGAAGCAGGAATCTGGCTCCACATATTCTGAGAAACCTACCCACATGATTAGTGATTAACAGCTTGAAGTGGCAAGATGTTAAGATGAAAGTACACAAATAATTAATGGAGGGAATGGTTGTGACTGGAGACTTTAACCTTCCCAAAGACAAGAATCATAAATACTAGTTCACAGTTTCATTGCTGTTATCTAGGACTTGGATTTCGTAGTTGGTATTTGAGAAGCAAGCGAAATGATCTCTTCCAAAGAGGTTTACACAATGAAGTGATAGTCGAGGTGGGATTCAGGGCCTCTCTTCTTCACCCTCATTCGGCTTCCTTGTTCAGGATGTCATGGTCACAGATGCCTCCTCCTGGTCTCTTCCCTGACCCTCTGTTTCTGCCAACAATTCTCCCTCCATGCAGCAACCAAAACAACCACACTGAAGTACAACTTAAGTCGGGTCTCTAGACTGACTCTAAAATTTCCAACTGCTTGCTACCCATGATGTTCAGAATAGTTTAGCACAACCATTCATGCTTATGCATGCTACCCTATCTCATTTTTCTAATCACAGGCCATACTACCCCCCCTCAGTTACTCAGTACACCAGTCCCACATGGTTACCTGTCCTCATTCTTTCTCACCTCCATGCCTTTGGCCACTTTGTTTTCCCCTGACTTCGGTATGACCATGCTCCATTTTTTCATACTCAACTTGGGTACCATATTTCCCCCAAATTTCCTAAGCTAGAAATGAACTCTAAACCATAGTATTATAGTATTGCTAACACAGAGATTTTCATATATTACTTAGCAAAATGGATTTTTAAAAGGCAATTTCGGTTGATTTCACTGTTTCTGGCTTCAGTATAGGTAAAAGGAAAAAAAAAAAACAGCACATATTTCCTTCTCATAGATTTGGGTAGGACTCTCAGCTCTATCCCCTTACTATGATAAGATAATTGAGTTCGTTAACCTCAATTTCCCCATGTAAGATGAGTTGAATACTGCTAATCTTATTAGAGTTAAATAAGTTCTCTTTTAGAGTTTGGTCCATAACAGTTGCTTAACAAATGTAGGTTTCTTTCTCATTTGTTCATCTTTATATCCCCCCAGGTTCCTGGACATTAGATGCTTACTTAATGCTTCTTTTGTTACAGGAAATTGGATATCTGTTTCCAGTGTAGGTAGAAGTGGATAGGGGGTAATTCTATGTAGACCAACTCCTATAAGGATGGCTTGGATCCACTATATTGCAATAAATGATCCCCATAATACATTCTGCTTATAATTGGTTGTCACCTCATTATAGTATCCACTTCTTTCCTAACATTGTATTCTTTTACACTATGTACAAGTATAGACTCATAGAATAAACCTAAAAGTATAACCAAAGCAATTAACAACAACAAAAAAACTCCAAATGTTCAATGTTAGATGATATTTAAAAAAAGACAAATTTTGTATGTTCTAAGACGACTATCCATGTTCTCCATTTTGGAGAATGTTGTTAAAAAACAACAACAACAACAACAACCACCATCAAAATAAACTTGCCACCCAAACTAAGCCAGACCCTCTTTTGATGACAATTTTAGCATTATCCACTTCAGGAATTATTCACAGCATATCTGTAATTCCCAATTGGCCTCGCCTTGCCTGCCAGCAACTCTTGGGCTGCATTCTCCCTATACTCAGGAAACACAGTCATTTCAACATTAGCCAAAGTGAAATATAATTATGAATGTATATCTCCTGCCAAAACTTCGTAATGTGTGCCAAAAACAAATAGACGTTGTCTATGGTTGATCTACCGTTTTGGGTTTTCCACATTGTGTTTCCTTCGCATTAGCACAGATGATTTCAGGTAACCATATTATACTTCAGACCATCAACATTTGAATTAAAAATGAAAGCCCTCCAAATATTAGCCGTATTTTCAATTTATGCTCAAAATCCCCTAAAATCAGCAATCCTTATGAGAGTTCATTTTAGCATGACACACCTCAAGCATGATGACCTGCCTGATTGAACTAACTTCTTTTTCACCTCTTTGGAAATCGTACCTACATGTTTTCAAACTGGTCCTTCCTGCACACTGTTGTTTTTCACAAGGACCAGTTCACAAAATAGAAGAAGAAAGCCAGGTGGGTCTAATGCTTTACCTTGTCATTTAGCAAAGTCTTGATGTTTTCAACCTGGTATTACATCAGAAACTAGATCAGAGCTCTGATACATTTCATATTTAGCTTATCTCCAAAGATATAGCCAGTCCTCTGGTTTGTGTTATGAAAAGGCCATGTCTACCATGTGGGCATTCGTTCCATTCTTTTATTCCCTTGTGCCTACCCATGGTGCTCACTACCTTCTCCCATTGGCATCTCAGCCACCACAATGATAATACAAACAAATACAGATGTTTCCTCTTGCCCTGATAACAACAGAAAACTTCCCAAAGCAGCAAATGGAATCTCTACACTTCCAGGAAGGTAGTATGAACTCACCAGCAGTTCCTTCCCAACCTGCAAATTCGGAGGAGAAATGGGAGACTGAAAGGAGCCGTTTCCCAGCTTAAATCAGAGTCACAGTTTGTGCCTCCCTTGCCCTGCAGTTTCAAAGGGCAGGCATCCAAACCCAGACAGAATGAGATCTCAGAAGAGAGGCTTTCTCTTTCATTTTTATAACAGGCATATCCCCAGAGTTTAATCTGCCTTCTCCAAATGAAAACCTGTATAAAGTCATCATTTAGCCCTGAAGGTTCACTGCGTGATGTGGGGTAGCAGAATGTCATGGAAAACTATCCCCTGGAAAGAAGGGAGACCCTGCTGTACTGACAGTCACTCTCCCCTCTTCAAGACCAGACCTTCGGTTCAGCTTTAAGCTTGTCCAAACCAGCAAAATTCCAGCCAGTGTTAGCACTTCATTCCTGTCCCACAGTCCACAACTAGGAGGCTAAGGGGGAGCTGGGGCTAGGGTTGGGGTGGAGGACACATTCAGGGGATGTTAATTATCATTGTAAATGCCTTGCAAACAGAAAAAAAGAATATCAAAAGAAAGCACCAAGAGATGTTTAAAAAAAAAAAAAAAAACCCATGCCACACACAGAGTTAAGAAAGGATGCAGGGGGAAGGGGTAAAGAAGGTGTTAGGGAAAGGGAAGGTTAGCAGGAGAGAGTTAAGACGAATGAGGAAGAAGAAGAGAAGACTAACCTGCATAGGGGATGGCGATGGGAAGCAGAAGGAGATGGAGGAGGACATGCTGCAGGAGCAGGACTGGCAGAAGTTTGGTCCCCCACATGGTGCTGCCGGACGCGCTGGCGGATCCCACTGGACGAGATGCCTGGCTGAGAGAAGCCTGTTCCGACTCAGTGCCTAAAAGAACCAGTCGCCTCTGAGCAGCTTTTTATTGCGATGAGCTAAGTTTGTTGTGTGATTAACTGGAAAGATCTAGGTCTGAACTCCCTCTTATGGTAAGAAACTGTTTAACAACAGCCCTTTACTCTCTTCCACCCCCTTCCTTTCCTCACTAACCTCCCCCCCAACAACACCAAAGAGATCCCAGCTCCCCGCCGCGCCCCCCCCCCCAACTCTGCTTAGGAAAGAAACTTACAAAGAGAAGGTCACCTGGCCTGAGGCCAGCTCAATTTGGAAGCTGGAGCTCCAGATCCCTGTGGCTCCTATCCGAGTAGGGAAGGGAGGAGCAAGGCTCAGCCCAATAGCTAAATCAAGGCACAGGCAGAGGACCAATTCGCTAAATTTAAACAGGAAAATACATGTGTTTACATGTCTCTTTGGGAAAAGAGGAAGGGGAAGCAGCAGCAGAAGAAAGCAAAGAGCTGCCTTTCAGACAAGTGCTTTAGCTCCTAATCTGTCTGGTTTCCCTGCTAGAGCAAAGTAGGGACTCAAAACACTAACACAGGTTCCCTGGAGTGAGAGAGACAGTGGGGGGTGGGGGAGACAGGCAAGGAGGCAGAGCCAGGCAGGTCCAGCCCAGGTAAAAAAGAGGGTGTGGTATTGTGGGGTAAAAATAAACGAGCAACACCGACGCCCACCGTGTCAGGTAAGAAAACCGCCCCAGCCCCAAATGCTCAGAGCAGGCAGCTTCTCTCAGCAGCTACACTAAGCTCCGCGATCACCACAGATGTGCCTAAAGTGCATCAGAGAAACTTGTCTGATTTGGGATCTGTGATAAAGTCTGGTCATGCTCTCTCTTAAAATGTCTAAGAGATTAGGATTATCTACAGCCTGTCTCCGACAGATAAATGTAGCTTGGACTCTGTGTCCTTATACCACACGCACACACACGCAGGCATGTATGTCTATATGATGCGCATACCTTCTAAGACTAACTTTCACTGGAAGTCTCTCAATCTGTTTTAATTCATACATAACAAAAGTGCCTCTCTTCTCCACCTCCATCCCTCTGAATGTACCCACCAGCCTCCCAGAATCTAAACGGAGAGATAAAGAGATTGCATGGGGGAGTGGAAGGAGGTGGGGAGGGGGGCGGGAAGACTCATGTCTGCAGAACCTGAGATCATTGCTCAAACCTCTCATTTTACTGACGGGATTGATTTATCTTTGCATCTCCAGGTGATGCTCTGATTACTCGAGGCAAGAGCAGGCTTTATTTTGGATGGCTTTGGGGGGATAGTTCCCAGTGCGTCTCTGAGATGGGTGCAAATAGGAAGCCGCGTCTCTGTCGACCGAGGAAGAGAAAGTGGGCATGATGTGAAAACGACTCTGGGGAGGAGTGCAGCGGTTCAGAGGTGGTGGTGGGCAAAATGAATGCCATCCGCACAGAGCAGCCTTCCCTTCTCCTCCTCCAGCTCCGCCCACCCACCTCCAGAAAACACCCGGGTTAGGACAGCTAGAGAAGCTTGGGATTGAGAGAATTACTTTTGAGGAATCTACTTTATATTACCTTCTCTTACTGTAAATCCTCTTTAATCATCTTCTCCTTAGAAAAACAAAACCGAGCAAACTGAAAAATCATTTGGTGGCCGAGTCTCCCTAGTGTCCCAAGTATCCATTTTACTCTCCTTTTTACTTTCTGGTAGGCTTCTTGGAAAATCTCAACTTCAGTGTATTGCCTGGCCATGTTCCTGAAATGCCCCACACATCTCTTGTGCTTTATTAGGGATTCAAACTCCTTTTTAAAGAAGCTAGATTTTTCTATAAGTAAATACTTACAGGTAAAGAATAAAGGAGACCAGGGGCACCTGGGTGGCTCAGTCGTTAAGCGTCTGCCTTCAGCTCAGGTCATGATCCCAGGGTTCTGGGATCGAGCCCCACATCAGGCTCCCTACTCTGCAGGAAGCCTACTTCTCACTCTCCCACTCCCCCTGCTTGTGTTCCCTCTCTCGCTGTCTCTCTCTCTGTCAAATAAAATCTTAAAAAAAAAAAAAAAGAATAAAGGAGACCAGTCTTTCTATTTGTTTTTAGGGTTTTTTTTTTTTTCCTCTCTTTCCCTCCCTCCCAGAGAAGGCAGGATCAGGCTGTAAGCGTGATTGCAATTATCATTATAGGCTTGGAGCAAAATTCATCCTAGATAAGAGATTTAGAGCACCGCAAGGAAGTTGAATAAACTTATTTACTAAGTCACACATTTTCACAATTTTTATTGTCACACTAGATACAATAAATGCTTAAACCTGTCTATAATTATATGTTTATATTTCTCTGTTGACAGGTTATTTGATTTCTCTATGTTAAAATGATAGCTCATATGCGTTGAGCTTTCAGGGTATGTTAAGCATTGTGTCAAATGCTCTTTAAAACTTGTCTTATTTAATCCTTACTATAAACTTACATTAAGAAGGAATTATTATAACTCCCATTTTATAGCTGAGGAAACTTAAGTAAATTATTTCTACCCTAACATAACTCCCACAGATCCCAAAGGAATAAAGATCCAGGTGTGAGACTCGAATAGTTCGTCGTACCCCGTAGGATGGAGAAATTTCTGTAAACCCCATGAGAAGAACCACCTGTCTTTTGTTTAAGATTATAATCTCTGAAATAAGCCCAGGATGGAACATATAAGAAATGCTCAACAATAAGCTACAAAATAAACCAATATATAAATAACTTAAAATCTCCCTAAACTACAAAGAAATATGCACGTGAAATAAATTATTAGTTGTGCTATTATTTTACTTTGTTTTGATAACACATGCCCTTTGTTCTTTCTAAATTATAGTAATGATGATTTGCCCATCCCTTGCTCTTACCTTTATACTCTTTAGGTGTTAAACTGTTTGTATAAGTCCCCCAAAATGTGTCTGAAAATTTTTTGATAAAACAGAGAATCTTGTAAGGAGAATTTATAATTGCTAGACCTTGTGTAATTACTTAAATACAGGATGAATACTCATTGCCAATATAATATCATTTTAAATCGATGATAACTTTCAAGTCTCTAGTAAATCATGTAAACTAGATGGAATGAATGGGAAAAAATGTACATTATTATACTTCCTGTTTTAAAAAGTTATATCTTCAAAAGCCCCACGTTTTCAAGCACAAGTGATGTTTGCCTTTGTGTAAATGGGGAAGAAGTTGATGTGACTTTGTGCTTTGCAGACCACTGATGAGTTCTGTGCTCTTGGGCTAGTCATTTCATTTGTTAAGTGACTGGTAGCACATGTGTGGTGCCATTCTGTTTGGTGCTTCTACTCCTATGGACTCAATTTAGTCAGATACCTGGTTTCAGATCCCAGCTATCTCACAAAATGTGTCACTAATTGAGAAAATTAATTAAGCTCCTTATATCTGTTTCCCTAACACCAGAATGGGACACTATGTGTCAGGTACTGTGCTAATAAACATCTCAAAGGTATTCTCTCACCTACCAACCCCCCACCTGGAAAAAAAAAGAGATATGTGTATCTAACAGGTATGTATTTCTACTGTCACTGGTTTATAAATAAGGAAACTGAGATTTGGAGGTGGTATGTAACTAACATTCGGTTAAACTGTTAATAAAGTGTGACTCGAAGCCACAGCTGTCCAGGTATGGAGTCGCCACATTAACAGAAATCCAGATTGAGAGATTTCCAACATCCTTCCTAGCTTTAAAATGTGATTATTCTACTGAATTCCTTAGTAGTCACCATGCTTTTATACAATTCTTACCTTCCACATCTGAGAAAGAAGCACCTGTGTAATTTTTGGTGTTGCTTATCTTTCCCATGCAACCGTATTTTCTCATTCTTTCCCTCCTTATTTGTTTCACCCTTTAATTGGTAATTTGTCATCTATAGGCCTCACCAGTGAAGAATTCATATTGACTACTTTTAATGTAGGATATACTGCAAAATTCATCGCAATTTGTATTAATTTCCTTTATATAATACAGCTCATCTCAGAGCATGTATATAAAATGTTAGTCAACACATTAATTCACCTTGGCTTAAATCCAAAGTGCAATCATCTGAACGTTTGTGTTCCCCCAAAGTGCAAATACTGATATCGTAACCCCCAGAGATGATAGTATTAGAAGGCGGGGGCTTTGGGTGAAGCCCTCATGAACAGGATTAGTGTCTGTAAAAAGAGGCTCCAGAGAGATCTCTTGCTCCTTCCCCCATATGAGGGCACAACAAAGCACTATCTATGAACTAGAAAGCCGGCCCTCACCACACTGAATCTGCTGGTGCCCTGATCTTGAACCTCCAGCCTCCAGAACTATAGATGATAAATTTCTGTTGTTTGTAAGCCAGCCACTCTGTAGCATTTTGTTGTAGCAGCTCAAGTGGACCAAGACATGTGTATCTTTAATAGGAGCTCCTAATGAAGAAGGAATATATACTCCAGGGACAGAAAATGGCTATTGGGTAATTGCTGTACAGAAAACAAAATTAAAAATGTATCTAATGTCTAGCACTGAGTAGTAGTTCAACTAAGCTTTTGATCAGAGAGATAACATTCGTAAATACATGAAGCAGAATCAAAAAACAATATGATACAAGCGGGTGTGATGGCATATTTATTTGAACAATTGTTCGAGAGTGGGTACAGTGATCACGCAAAAGCCTACATCTCTGCGGTCAGTCTGATGGCCTCAAGGCATTTAGGGCTATGTAAACTCAAACTGAGAGTAAGTAAAATTAAAACTGAACTTTAACTTGCGCTTCCTTTGTTCCAAGTACTTAATAGCCAAATGTGTGTGGCTACTAGCTCTCCTAGTGGACAATGCAGATATAGAATATTTCCATCATTGGGGCGCCTGGGTGGCTCAGATGTTAAGCGTCTGCCTTCGGCTCAGGTCATGATCCCAGGGTCCTGGAATCGAGTCCCGCATCGGGCTCCCTGCTCCTTGGGAGCCTGCTTCTCCCTCTGCCTCTCTCTCTCTCTCTGTCTCTCATGAATAAATAAATAAAAATATTTAAAAAAAATTAAAAAAAAGAATATTTCCATCATTGCCAAGAGTTCTATTAGATAATGTTGCTCTAGTCTAAGATGGGTGATATAAATGTCATCTAAA